CCTACTCACACTGCACCAATCGTGTTCCCACCTACATGGCCGCCCACTGAGGCTCACACGTCAGCACAGTCTGCTGAACTGCAGACGACACTACTTCGCTTTGCGGACCTACCGACCGTGGAATGCTCTGTCTGCCGATTTAGTCTTGGCACCCACTGTGGCGGATTTTAAGACCCGCCTGAACTGCCATCTGGCCTAGCTACACCGCGATATTCCATGATATAACTACCTTCTACTTGATAGAGTTTCCTTCCTTATTTCTCTTCTACCTAATTCCTTTCCATAGCCGTTTCGGAGGGCGTGGTGGGATGTCACGCTTTGAGCCGGCGTGCATTTAGTTTAAATGCCGCATAAGCCCGATGAAGATACGGCTAACACGCGAGTCCAACCCGCTATAAGATTGCTTAGCCTTTCATTAGACCCGACCCGAACTCTTTTCACCCTATGGGTCATGTAAAGCTCGAGCTTTTATTCCCATTAAATACAATGTTGCAATGCTTTTTGCTGTGTACGTTAAGGGACTGTCGGAAGTGCTGGGGGTGCCTACCCTCATGTTCGCGGACGACTTGAAGTTCTGATATACGGTGAGCGACTGTACTGGCTCCCAAGCTTTGCAAAAAGCTGTCGACAGACTGAATGGTCCGTTCTGTGACAGATGCCAGTAAACCACACAGTGTTCAGTTATGCGCGTAGGATCAAATGGTTCGACGACGCACTACATGGTTGGTGGGAACGAATTACCTCATGTATCCCAACAAGTTGATTTAGGTGTTACGTTAGCTCCGGAAACGAGCGGCTAGCAAGGGCTTCCGAACCCTCTGGATGATCCGTAGTTCATTTGGGATGCTGACGGAAATGTTTATTAAATTTTTTACGGCCTTTGTTAGACCGTACCTGGAGTACTGCTGCCAGGCTTGTTCTCCTTGTCTCACTCGTGACATGATGGCCGTATAGTTGATCTTGAGGAGTGGTACCAATATGATCCGAGGGCTGCGGTACCTGTCCTACCCTGACAAATTGCTCAAGCTAAGAATGTTCTCACTACACTATCGCCGCCTTCGTGGCGATTCAGTACTCACTCCTAAATAAATAACGAAATAAATTTTTTCTTCTAGACAATGCGAGGCAAGTCTGTATAGGCATGATCATAGTAGTATCAACAGGATTGATAGATAATTGTACATAAGTGTTGTAAAATTACCACTGATATATTGGATCTATTTACGTATGTGTACATGAGTGTATGTAGTTATACATTTGCTTCCCTTTGTTGCCTGAGTGTGTTAACATTGCGCTGCGTTTGGGGTTGTATTCAGTCAGGTCTTCGGCGTGAGAAGGGTTTAAAGGAAATCATCGGCTTGGAGAGTTAACATCCATGAAGTGAAGCAGATAATTTGAATAACAGGGCGGATCGGCCTAGAGCTACCCTGGCTTTTTCATCTTGCTCGCTTACCTACTTTTCGTGAGCATCCGTTGAAGTTGCACACATTCCGATGTGATCGGGTTTGGGTTGACACTCGTTTGTCGCGTAGAGGGATAAATTTCTATAATGCGTTGCCCGAGGACATCGTATTGTCACCCACTTACTGCTCCGAATCTTCCCTTTCCCTAATTTTTATTTTGATTACCCTTCAGTTCCTTTTCTTCTTAATTGCTCGTAATAAATTCCCCTTCAAATTTTGTCTCTCCCACTTGATATCTAGACTACAATTTTACTCTTCCTTTTCTTATTGCACTTGGCCGGCGCAGCGGGGCGCGTGGATCTTGATTGGTTAAGCATGACGTGTTCTGCACGTTCTGATATGCCTCATACAACTGGCCAATCGTACACCGAACTCGAACGTGGACTAAGGACGCATTCAAGATGGAGCGACCATAGGAATCTCCTTTTGTTCCTACCTCGTTTGCATTTGCATTTGATCCACAACGCTTGAGAAATGCTGCGAATAATTTGGGCTGGATTTCTCCGCATTATTTGGATCTGGATAACGCTTGAAGCGTTTTGTACTCCAACCTGATGTTAATTATTAATCAGGTCGTTTCGGTTTCTTGGATGAGACTTTTCCGGGGACCGTCGTTAGATTGTTCGCGAAATGAGATCCCTTACCTACAAACGACGCAAGCTGTGGGATAGGTTCAAGTCTTCCCAGTCGACGTTAGACTGTTCCATCTACAAACTTCAGGAATATGTGTACCACGCCGAAATGTGAGAAAAGACATATGTATGAACTTCGCCTAGGTAAGCAGTCCGTAGCTATCCCAAAGTACTTTATCGTACCTGAAAAGAAATTCGAAAGCTGACAATAGAATTGTTGTGGAAGAAACTAAACTAAAAGTGCTCGATTGCATAAAAGGACGCTCAATCCTTGTAATAAGAATGTTAGACCTGACCTTCGATAAAGCGCGATCCTCGGTAGGCCGTCAGTTAGTTGCATAATCCGGTTCGGAAGACGAAACTATAGTCAGTACGATACTTCGGCGCAGTATGCCTTTTTTCAATTCGTTGCATCGTTCCCCCAAATGTTTGCATCGGGTCACGCTTGGAGCTGCATCACATGCGTCATGTGACACGTTGCACGTTACATGAGTATGGCTCATGCGACTGCATACGTGCAACGTGTCACATGACGCACGCGATACAGCTTCAAGCGTGACCGATGCAAGCATTTGGGGTAACGATGCAACGAATTGAGAGTAGATCCGATGATCGACATCCGTAGCAAGCAGACCGACAATCGGCAGTACAACACGCGTAGCCGAAACCAGAAGGCAACTCAAAATTCGAAGGTGTTTTTCAGTTTTTGGGCAGTGAAAACGAAACTGAAAACGGGGATAGGAAGGTACAGTTGGAAGGATAAAATTTTACAATCGCTACAGGATACCCGCCTTGTATTCCTGCGAAGATGATGATAACACCAGCCTCTTCGTATCGCCGTACTCCATTTTTCGGTCGAGGCCCATTATACCACCAGGTTTGCACCTGCGTCTCACTCTTACTTAGATCACTTGGCATTTAATACTAAATTTGTTGAGCAATAGCTCTTGGAATTAAACCCAACCTTTTCATCAGGGCCTGATGAGCTAAACCCATTGTTCCTTAAAACAGTGGAAGACTACATTTCAGCACTTATTTGCCAACTATTTCGGCTTTCCATTGACGCTGGCCTTCTACCACTTGCTTAGAAAACGGGCGTTGTCAAGCCTGTAAACAAAAATGAGAGTCCTCAGGACCCCGATAACTACTGGCCGATCTGTATAACCTCAAAATCATGGAAATAATTCTCAAACGAGCCTTGCAGCTACATCTTGAGAAGCTGAATATATTGCTCACCGCTCACTCCGGCTTCCGGGTCAGGAAAACGTGGGTGCACTCGTTAGATGCTGGCGATCGTTGGACGTCGTCTTCTACGAAAGACTTCTTTATAAACCCCGGGGTATTTGTGTCTCTGAGGGATATTTCTTTTATTAATGACTTATTGGTCGGGCGTAGCATGCAAGTGAAAATGAATCAATCCTTTTCCGCGCCTGTTTCCCTGACCAGTGGAGTTCCACAGGGCTGTTTTTGGTCTTGAACTTTTTACTATCTACGTCAGTGACCACCTATCGAAGCTTTAAACTGACTGTTTAATCTACAATGATGACCTCCAGATGTCTCCAGAGCTGAAGATGCTGGTTCGTTTGTCGGCAACGTTACATCTGTTACACTGCGGGTGGATTAAGTAGTTGTTACCCATCAATCGGGACAAGTGTTCTGTACACTTTATCGGTACTTCTGCTCCATTTGGTGCCTATCACATTGACGATTTCCCTTCTTAAGAATACGACCTGTGAGAAGGACCACGGCGTCTTCACTTCTCCGGATCTAAGCACAACTCAGGACACCTTGAAGGTTGCGGCTGCCAATAGAATTTTCCGTACTTTAGGTAGATCGTTTTCTCAAACGACGCCTGAAATCTTCAGACCACTGTTTACATCTCATGTTCACCCAATTCTTGAAGATGGGCTACCAGCGGCCCACCCTCTTTTAAAGGCCGAGTGCATCTCTGTTGAGAAGATTCAGCGGTGTGCATCGAATTCTGTCTCGGTGCTCCGGAATCTTCCTTACTTTTATCAACTTCGACAGATGAACATGGATTACATGGATTATCGCCGTCGTACTGGCTACATGATTTACGTCGGACGTATTTTACAACGATTGATGAGCAGTCGACTACTGGAGTTTTTTTAAATCGATGCCGTTACTTCATCTCGAGGTCATCATTGGAAACTGTTTAGACCTAGGCGTCAGTAGTACGCCGGTACGCAGTACCGACGCTTCGTCGCCACGCCACCACCACCATTCGCACGTGGGCTAAGGATATTGCCAGGGTCGCCCGGTCCCTACACAGGCTGAAACCCGCGCCCTCGGATTACAAGGCAGGTTTGTGATCCTTAAGACTACGAGCTGGCTCCGTGCCTCCTCTGATGTCACCTTGTTTACTCGTGTAGTGGACGACTGAAACAGCCTATCTGATCCAGTCGTTGGTGCGCAAACCGAAAGATTTTTCAAATGATTACCGGATTCCATTTTGATTCGTAATCAAGGATCCTGTTGTTTTTGCTGCGACCGTTGTGGTCCCTTGTGGAAAACTCGCTCACAGCGACTTGCATCGTCCCTGCACTGAATTTAAGGTGATAGAGCTGACAAAGGATTCCCTTCCTGCTCCCTTTAACCCAATGAAATCAAAGGCAAAATATCGTCGAGCCTAGCCTAGAAGTTTACCATCGTTTCGTCTTTTTCCCTTACCATTTCTTCTTTGATGTCGTTAGAGCGACCATCTCCCGTGCGTGTTCTCACCATCCTTCCAGCCACCACACGCTCGGTGCTTCATCGGCAGCTGTGACAATGCCGTCCAGCTCGCTACGAGGTGTAAGGCGCACATTTCATACAGCTCCGACTCTTACTGCGTGTTTGTCGTGAAACTGTTCAGCCGCCTACGAGGTATCTGTTTTGCCTTTCAGTCCCCTCGGTGCATCACGACTCACGTACGCTCTGAACAAGGAAGCCCTCAGGACCCTCGACTGGTGTCCTTCTACACCTTTGATGGAATGTGAGTTTTTATATTTATTATTCCAGGTGAACTCCTAAGCCTCACAAAGCTCTGGACAAGGTACTGGCGCATTTCGCGTGGGCTGCAAAAAGTGTGGCTTCAGTAAGTGAAGGGTTGTTTTCTCCTGTGCGCCAGCCGGCCACTTGACATTCCAGTGTAGGAATTACCTCCGTGGGGAAATTTCTGGCGACGTTGTCCTTGACGTTAGTAGCACTAGTTCTCAGTCAGATGATGATGCCTTGATTGCTTCGGCTATTGAACTCAAACGTGTGGCCCTCGGTAAGTGCCTTGTTTGCTTGAACTTTTATGCGCACCTGCATTTCACGTTGCATTTTCCACCTCGATCTTTTGGGGCATACCCTACAAGCTAGGAGTATTTAGAATGATTTATTTGGCCACCATAGCAGTTGTGTGTCGAGGCGTCATTGCGACAGAACAACGCTTGAAATACAAGTTTGTTGACCGATTATTTCAGTCGACCGGTACATTTCATGTGTGTCTATCGTTCATAGTTTAGAAGCGCCGTTTTAAAAATACTGTGCAGACAAGGTTGCCAGTCCCTGAATGAAGCGGAATCACGGGCATACGGATTTCTCACCGTGTGTCCCGGTCTCCGTGCTGCTAGCCATATTGTCACTCCCATGAGTTCGTTCCGTTACTTTTTGTGTATTGTCCGTTAACTAGCTTTGTTGTTGTTATCGTCAGTATACTGTGCACTTGTAGACTTCTAGTGTAGTATTGCGTTCTCAATCTTTATATCACCGCCTTTTATCGCGGAGAGTTCGTACGGGTCTTTTCCTTGTCATTGATTACTCAGTCTGTCTTATTACTGTACACATGTGGTTGGTGAACCTAACGCTGACAGATCTCTCAAATGTGCCATGAAGAATGACTGACACATGCTGTGCATCCAACTGGAGACGTCATAACTGTGAATGGATCTCAGAAGCATCGACCAGCTTGATCGAAGCACGGAAACAAGTTCCAACGGGCACCGTGTTTCAGCGTGTCCGTAATTCCCTAAAACGACGTCTGACAAGGAGTCTTCGAATGTCCCGGGAACCTTAGTGGGTGGCAAGGGCTCGTGAAATGGAGGAAGCCAATGCTATGGGGAACAGCCACGTGCTACTCCGACCCATCCGGGACACGGGTTCGAGAAAACTATCAGTTAGCGAGATAATAGTTGGGGAAGATGGACAGTTGATCCATTCTCAACGTCGTCGACTAGCCTGTTGGGCGGAAATTTTTGAAGAGCAGTTCAACAAGCCTGCTACGACACTGCCGCTTGCCGAATCTCCGGAGCCGACTTGGGAACTAAGTGTCACCTCCCACTTTGGAAGTGATTCGTCATGAGCCTTCCGTGCTCAAACGTAACAAGGCTCCTGGACCCGACGATCTTCCTCCATCTTTGCTGAAATATGGTGTTTACTTTGTTGACTGTACTCGCTTCTCCATTTAACACGATTTGGAGCACTGAAGAGGTGCCTTCAGACTGGGGATTGTCAACCGTCGTGCCCAACTTCAAAAAATAATCGAAGCATTCGCCTTGCTTCCGTTGCGTCCAAACTTCTCACGGAGAACCGAATCATTGAAAACCAGGCTAGCATCCGCTCTGGTCGTCGTTGTTTTGACCACATATTTATCTTCGCCAAGTTTTAGAGCCAAGACATACTGTTACGGGGGGCCAGCTTACAGCCAGCGTTCAAACCGAGAGCCGTGGCGCAAGATTGGAGATCGAACTTATGCAGAGATCGAACGCGAATCTAGGTGGGGTCAGCAGCAAGTTGAACCTTGAACTTGAACCGTTTTGAGCTGTTTCACTTGATATTAATTAACATCTCCGATGTTGTCGTGTTTAATAACTGCATTCAACGTATTCATTCCGCTACGCCGTCATGCGAAGAACTCTCGATCCGACTGGTCGTTGGCGTTCTCCTTATCGTGTGGGTTGGGTTCGGCACAACAGATTCTGGCAGGTTGTCCGTACAATCATCGAAAATCACAACAGATTTATGGTGACGGAAGGTTAACTTAATCAAGATGTCCATCTCAGCAGGCCTGAAAGCTATTTTGCTACAACAGCAGCAGCAGCAGCAGTTCGGGGCCGCACAGCTGCGAATGATCGAGACTCTCACGAGAACACTGACGATCCGCTTTACATTCATCTATTCCGAGCGAACGCAGTCGTTCTTTCGGCTTCCGCAGTCAATGTTTGAAGAATCACAGCTTCAATCGACAGAGTTGCTGGCACAGAAGTTGAACCTTCAAGCTGAATGAGAATCGGAACCAGAGCTGACATCAGAGAACATTGCAGCTGAATGTTACAAGTTGCTCAACTTGGACTTAGACACCAAAAAGTGTGAAAATTCGGATACCAGTAGTGGACTCCAGATTCGCCACATACCTAATAGAGACCAGAGGGGGAATCAGTGTTCTGAACCAAAGGCCCCCCACTGCGTATCTTGCCGCATTCCGCAGTAGTCAAAACACATCAGGAGGTCACTTGTCGCTAGACGAAGAAATCGACTGCTAACCGAAATGCATACGTCTGCAACTGTGCAACAACCTACCCAACCAGTTGTACAGACAATCTGCCCAGAATGAAGTGCAAGACTAAGGCACAATCTTCACTGTCCCATAAGCCATACACCGTTCCAATGTTTCGCACGAGACGCCCTACACCTTACGCAGCAACACCAATGGTTTTCCAGAAGCTTGCTGTCAGGGAAGGGAAAACCTCTCTCGAAAACGGAGTAATTCAGTGGGAAAACAAGTTGAGCCAATGATGTACAATAGAAACATCAAGTGATTTCAGGAACGTCCGCTTCAGGAACGTTCGCGTCCATGCGACGTACGCAACTACATTCCCATTGGATAGCGGAACTGAACTACCAACCAGGGCAACTGACCTAGCTGTTTTGAAATGCGAACATTCCTCGACAGTGTCTAAAAAGGAGATCTACATCGAGTTACCATTTCAGGGTGATTTTGCCAATATGAGGACAAGGAAGTGCATAATTTCCGCATTCTAGATAACCTATTATGCTGCGAAAACTGTTTTTATCAACCGGACTAATCTAATACTTGTTACTCCAATGACGGCAAGACAACCTATTGGCGCCAACTCACATTGTATTTACCAATTTACTTGTAGTTGTGATATACGCTACATCGGCTTTACCATCATCATACACGTTAGCTAGAGGTGGGGAACACCTCAGCTACTGTACCGCAATACATAGAAAAAAGGGGAAAAAAAGCAACTGGGGCAAGTTGGCCGAGCTACCGGTAACGAATGGGCATCGTTCTGGTAAGCTACCAGCCGGCTACTGTGCACCAAGAAAAAAATTACTATGCAAAATTATATAAGGCTAAATAATGAGATCGTGGTTGGAGGGGGAGGCTAAGAAGGATGGGGTGGGACAAAGAAACTCACAGCACGAACGCCACTGAGGTCGGATCCTAGCCATGTCAGCAAGTGTATCCAGCCAAACGTGTTCACCGTCTTTTGGACCCCAACCAGGGAGCCGAGACGCTCCAACCGAGGCCAGCTCAGAAGTGAGGGTCTTCATTCCTCTGGACCAAGTCATCGCTTGGCCACCCCTTCTCTTCTTCCATCCACACCCCCGGCGCGCAAACAACGCACGTCGCGGGAGTCGGTGGGCTGGCATGCGTAACACGTGGCCCAGCCATCGGAGCCTGATGCGTGAAATAACGTTGCTGAGCGGTTCAGTTCCTTTTCCTGTGCCATAAACAAGGCGTCGAACACGCTCGTTGCTCACGCGGTGTTCCCACCAGATGTGAGCTAAATTACGAAGGCACCGGTGGTCAAACGTAACTAACCTCTTCAGGTCCGCTGCTTTAAGCGGCCAGGTTTCACAACCGTACAGTAGGGTCGAACGTACCGCTGCATTGTACACTCTACCCTTCAGGGTGAGAGTGATGTCGCGCCGGCGCCATAAGTGGCGAAGGTTAGCAAAAGCGCCCCGAGCTTTTGCTATACGATTTGTGATTTCATCTTCGATCCCACGGGCGCTGATACAACTTCCCAGGTAGTTGAATTTTTGAACGACTTCTAGCTGATCCCCACCAAGGGTCAGCGAAGGAGGCGGTCCCTGTCAATCTTGGAGGAACACTTTGCACTTCGAGGGTGCGAAGCAAAGCCCGAAGTGACGGACAGCTAGTGCTAATCTGTCCAGTGCCGCTTGGCACGTTTGTGAGCTGTCACAGATGAGGGCAATGTCGTCTGCATACTCCAAGTCAAGAAGTCGTTCTCCTGGGAGTAGCTCCACACCTTCTAAGTCGTGTCCTGTAAACGCGATTTCCATGACTTCGTCAACAGCGAAGTTGAAGAGGAAAGGTGACAGCGGACATCCTTGTCTCACGCCGCTGGAGATGTTAAAGGGCGACGACAACTGCCGTAAGCCCTCACTCTGCTCGAGCTACGCGCGTATAATGCTCGGATAATATTTACATATTTCTCGGGTACACCTTTCCTGAGTAGACAGTCCCAAAGTGCATGTCTATCCACCGAATCGAATGCACATTTGATATCGAGGAACACGACAAGGGTGGACCGCCAATATGCGTGACGGTGCTCCAACAACTGACGCAAAGTGAAGATGTGGTCAGTGCAGCCACGACCTCGACGAAATCCAGTTTGTTCTTCACGAATCTGGCTTTCACGAGTGTCAGTCAGTCTGTGAAGGATGACAGACGCAAGCAATTTGGAGGCGATGGAGATCAGACTGATTCCTCTATGGTTGTCGCATTCCGACCGTGAGCCTCCTTTGAAAATTGGGACTATGATGGAGCGGCTCCAATCGGTTGGAACAGTTTCCTGCTCCCACAGTTTGACTAGTAACTCGTGTAAATCATCAACAAAAGCTGGTCCCCCGAATTTGAAGAGGGCTGGAGGAAGGTCATCTGGTCCCGCGGCTTTATTCAACTTCAACAGTTCGATCTCACGTTCAACTTCTGAACGAGATGGTGGATCCAAAGTAACAGCCCACGGAGCAGGGCGATCACTGGTCGGCGAGAAATCCAACGATTCCGACCGACTTTACCAATGGACTGTTGAACTCCAGAATAGGGAAACATGCACCTAAGTGGTTGCAGCGTCAAATCATCCATTTGCTCATACTACCAGTTCAAGTAAGCCACCTGCTTCATCCATAGGAAGGCATTTACTGGCCACCTGTCATCAGTTTTATCCGGCCAGAATGTTTACAATCGTGTTAAGACATGCTAACGCCCGTTTCCTACGTTTCACAGAGGCA